AAGCAGGAATTTAAAGGATGCAATCCATTTTTAAGTTTATCACATTTACACACAAACATGTATATCTCTCAGACACAGTAATGCCTGATCAATCATTTAACAGTTTAACTATGAGTAATGTTAAATACTTCACAAGTTGGATTAAAACCCCTGAAAATATCCAAAACAGACAAAGGCAGATATTGAATCAGAATCAGATTTAAAAAGATAGAAATCACCCATGCCAGTAATTTGTGAACAGGTTGCAGCACTACCTGTTATATAATTGAAGTAGCTCTGCAAAATTTATTGAACATTAAAGGCGTGATAAACATGATTTTTAGCCGGCTTATTGCTCAAAGAGCAAATTACCGGCTTATGTCCTACTGTTCAAGTCAACCCCATAGTCGCCATTTTAAAGTAATGTGCAAAAAGATATTTCTTACTCCCAACCGCTTTTGAGATAATACAAACGCTAAAAAAAGCAACAAAAATAAAACGAAGTTTTATCTATATAAATAAACATTAGTAGTAATGACTTTGAAAACTTCAGTCCTAAGTCAAAGAACATAGCTCATTAGCGTAAGGATTTTTGATAATCAGTGTTCTCGTAGTTCTCTACACATACGAGGAAAAGCAGGAGAAGGAACCAGAGTGGCCTGTTTGTTTACATTCAGCTGCGGTACCAGATTAATTCTGATTCTGACAAAATCGGTATTAGGATTGAAAAACTCACTGTTAGTGTCTTATCATTTATATTCATAGTTTTAAAATAATTTTTTCATCAGAATATAAACGTGATTCATGTAAGAAATTCATGTAAGAAATTCATTCTACTGGGTTAATGAGCCCGGCTCTCTGTACTTCTGAGTACTTTGATTATATATGTCGCATTAATGTGTGTACATCTCAGTTTTATAAACGATCTCGTCGTTGTCTGTCATTAAATATTTACAAACATTTCTCAATTTTATAAATTTTCATGCTTAAATAAACCTGATCAGGCTGAACAGGCAGTAAAAGTTATATTATTGCTCGTTTCTACAGAAAAACCTTACAAAGTGTCATTTTAATAAATCCTAACTTTGCAATACTTTGCAAAATATAAAATAAACTGCGTACCTGACATGTATGCGTAATCTAGATGAATATTATCACGCTGTATCTCTTCTTCATGTCTTCATGTCTTGACTTCGCAAAAAACGTGCCGTTTTCGTCGCGGATTTGCGACATATTTTCTGTGCTTTCAAACCTTTCACGTCCTTGCATTTACATTTTTTATCATTTCAAAGCTTTTTTCAGATACATGTAGATTTCGCGTCTTTCTTTAAACATTGTTGAGATTATGATTCTTTGAATAATTTTCTTATCTCTTGTAAAAAAGGCTTCTTTTAAATGGTGTCTGTACACATGTTGACTCTAAAAATGCACTCAACCAAATCAAAGCGATATTTTTGAAATGAAGTACAGTACGAACAGTCCCAGGGACTGTTTTCTGGGACTGCTAAAGCAGTCCCACAGTGGTCCCAGAGCAGTCCCGCAGCAGTCCCAGCGGTCCCGGAGAGCAGTCCCAGCAGTCCCAATGGGCGGAGTTTTATTAATTTAATGGGCGGCGCTATCTCAGAAATGAGATTTCGATAAACAATGGAACTATAAAAGGCAGTTGAAATTGATTCTGAGTAGTATGCCAGGAATTCTTACATGTATACGAAGGTCATTTATGAACAATTCGTGCATAGAAACAATTTGAAATAAAGTCTATTTAAGGAAGAAGGCTTTCACAAATAATTGTTTGAAATACACTGAACATGAATATTTAATCACAATTATCTGGTATATTAAGAATTCAATTTCTTTATTTTCTGTGGTTGATACAGGTTCCCAGATTTAATTTTTATACAGAAAATTAAACTTAAATTGATTATTTGCCACCAGAATTAGCTTTAAATAAATCTCATCATTCCATACCATCAGAATACTCTAAAGGCATTTTTTATACCCGCCACTTGAAAAGTGGGAGGGTATATAGTAATCGGTATTTCCGTCCGTCCGTAGGTCCGTCTGTTACGCTTTGGGGTACCCATCTCTTATCCGCAACTCCTCTCATACCACTGAAGGAAATTTAATGAAACTTTCACATATTCCTAATTACATATTGCCATTGTGCACCTCCTATTTTACTTTTTGATCTAACATATAGTTTTGATTTTCCAGAGCAAAACATGGACACTTCCATTATATTCATATGGGAGGCGGGGGGGGGGGGGATATCATTAGTGAGCTCATTGCTCACACTACCTCTAGTTTAAGTATTGGGGCTTTTGAAATTTTTTTTTTGTTAATTTTGCCAAGTATTTTTTTTTCAGTCATGATTATTTTTACAGTGTGAATTTAATTACTGTTAGTTTCTCTAGCCCTATAGTACTTTTTAATGTGTTTTATTTGTAAACGATTGAGTGTACATCTGTAAATCACCAGAATGGAACCGACGGATTATGTGCAAAATTAATTAATCCTTCAAGAAATTTATACACATTTCATTTATTAATATTTTTTTTATTTCATAGATCGAAATTAGGGTCATTGTTTGCCAGCACGATCAATGATGTATAACACTTGTACGTATACACAAATATTATGCAGGATTGATTTTCTGCCCAAAAGCGATTGAAACCGCAGGTGTTGATATCATTTTACACACATTAATCGACCAGGTAAACACAAGCAAAACAATAAAGAAATAAATCACAATTCCCGATATTTTCAGACGTTTATTTTTAAAATAAATGTACTCTTTTAATAACCTGTTTATAATTTAAAAACTAATTCATTAATAAAATTTCCAAATAATAATATACATTATTTATGTTACAGAAGAATGGTAGCATAATATATTTCATGGTCATTTAATAAATTGTTAGGTTATTTAAGGGTTGCATGGAATACTCATTTTAGCATGGTACATGTACTTGTAAAACGTGTAGCTTTTCCAATTAAATAATCTTATATATAACTGTAATGATTTTTTTTTAAATAGTGCCAATGCATATTTTGACTACATAATTTTACATTAAATAATAAATTAGGCCTACATGTAGATGTTTTTTTCTCATAAACCTGTATTTTATTTTTAGGGATAAAAATCTTCTCCTCTCCTGACTTCCTTATTGAACAACGTTATTTTATATAAAAATGATTCTAAACTACTTTTGTGAAGAAAATACAGTCTATAAAAATATTAAATAACTATAACATTCTCTACTTATTAAAAGATTAGAAATCCTTGCTTTTTTGATAGTTTAAACTCCTCTATGCTGGAAGTAAACAAAACAGCTAGGAGCCTGCAAATTCAGAATACACAAGGGGGCGGAGCTATCATGTCACTCAGAACCTTTTTCACACATGAGTGAACAAAGCAGTTCCAGAAAACAGTTCCAGGGACAATCCCAGAGTAGTCCGAGAGGAGTCCCATAGCGGTCCCAGAGCAGTCCCAGAGCGGTCCCCAAGCAGCCCCGGGGACTGCTTTTTGGGACTGCCTGGGTGTCAGGTTGGGTCTGGTTGGGTCTGGTACTGTATCTTATAACATGGACGTATCCTGTTCTACCTGAATCACAAATCATTTAAAAAGAAGTCCTAGTAGTAAACCTCTTTGCATTAATATCTAATAAGTGAAGAGTATCTTCTAAAGAAAAATCATGAATTGTGTTTTGTTTTTAAAAAGAAAAAAACCCAAAATTGGTAAAACCCTTTGATATTATAAAACGATTCCCATTACCTTACAACCAAAACAAAAAAGCACATACACGTGTATTTCATTTTCATTCTACAAAATGGACTCTTGAAGACTAAAAACTGTAGAAGCACAAATTTTCGTGGGGATAAAATTTCGTCGATTTGTCATCAAGAGTATTTCCGTGGGCATTTAATTTCGTTGTTTTGAAAGTAAACCCATTTAAAATTTCGCGTAGGATTTAATTTAGTTGATCATTTTTAACAACAAATATTTGTGCTTGTACATTGTTAACAACCAATATCCGTGCTTTTACCAAACATTAATTTTTCAGAAAGGAAGTAATAAATATTGAACAAGCATTTTTTTGCTTTGAAGATCTTTAAAGCATAGTTGCACAAACAGATCAGAAACTATATTAAGCAGCTTACTTTTCACTCTCCTTTGAGGTATTTCAAAACCTGAGCCCTGAAAAAATATTTGATCCAAAAATGAAATAGATTAATAAATCCATGACCAAATGTAGTTCACGCAAAACCAGAGTACACTATATACATATGTTTTTCAATTTTAACTAAAGTCATTTGCTTATCGGAAAATATATGTTATCTAAAAGTGGGAAATGAAAGTTATATTAATATGTCTTCAATGAAATTTGAATGATAAGTTATAGATTCTTATGAATGAGGAAAGAATGAAATTTAAAAAAAAATCTGAAAAACATGTTTACAATACCTTTTCACAAATTAGATAATCAAGCTTTTCAAAACAATTAACAAATTCACAGGTAGTCTGGTTACATTTCTGACACTGATGAAACGTTTCGTTTTCATGGATATCAACAGCAACACCTGTCAGAAATTGAAACTGAGTCTCTGTGGAGCAACTAATAAAATGCATGTTTTAGATATTATTTATGATGAAAATATTTAATCCACAATTGTTTGCTTGATAAAAATTTCGACAATGTTGCATTTTTGTTTTCTTTGATATCAGAAAGACGTCGAAGAAATATCAAAGTACTTATATACTTCCCGTCCTCCTGTATAGCCTTTTTGCCGAGGTCTAACGGTCTAAAATTCCGATTTGCTAGTTATAGGCAAATGCCAGGAATACCCTGGTTTATATACTACATGTTATATCATGCATATTTTGGATCTATGTTGGCGATGTCTCGAGCATTACACATAATTTAACAAAAGTGTGGTGCTCCGTCAATTCAGGAGACGTCGTTTTCACATTCGTTTTCTCAAGAATCGCATCGGAGAAAATCACTATATTTCTCTTAGTACTTCAAATATCACGTCAGAAATCTAATAACAGTAATAGAACAATATAAAGATATAAGAAAATTGCCGAAAAATACCGCGAATTATAGAAAATGTATGATTTAAATTTTGGATTCCGCATGCTTTTGTTTCATATTTCTTGTCTTGCTCCGTACCTCTTCATCAGTGATATCAACACAGCGATATTTTTAGAAGAATTATTTTTAAAATACACAAATTTTGCCCAAAATTTATTGAAATCTAAAAATACATATTTCTGTGAAATTTCATAACTATATGATGTCTGTAAGAAAAAATAATAGCAGAGTCCGCGTAATTTTTGAACAACTCTCGTACGTATACATCTTGTCAAGATTCATTTGTATGCCTGCACTGAAAAAATATTTAATAGTTGAACGCCATTTACATTTTAATTAAAAGTGGGATATATGTAATACAATGTCATGTTTAACATTCAAAAAATAAAAAAAAGACTAGTAGGAAGGGTGTACATGCAGTAGTAAAAAGAAAAAAGATAGTAATAAAAGTTATAGCTTTCTCACCTCGATCATACCCAGTATACACTTCTTTTGCGATGCTTAGCCAGGTAAAACCTCTCTGTTTCCTTTGTAATTGTTTACATGCCAAAGTAGAGTCAGTCAAGGAGACGTTTCCAATTAAGTACGACGAGGGATACCGTGTTTTACAAATCTGCATTGATGATGTCCAGTTTGTTTTTATCTCTGTTTGATTGATATTTATGTGTTAGTATTATGTAAAAGTCGACAAGAAGAAATGGGGGAAAAATCAAAACTGAGACAATTCAGGTAAATGTAAATCAATCAATCATGATATTCAACAATAAAAATTGTAATCGCATATTTGAGGTAGTCGAGGTTTTTTTTTCAATGTTCATTTTAAAATTGAAATAATTTATTAAACACAAAGAATGTATTCCATTTTACTTACAGATGATCCAAATGATGGGAAGACATGTCAAATTATTACTGGCTGCATATTATTATTGAAATGTTAGGAGAAAGTTTTTTTCTGTAACATTTTTTACTAAAATTAAAACAATAAGCTACACATAGATTAACTCCAACATATCGAATCAGCATCCAGCATTGTTACATACATGTATAACTCCCTCGTTAAATTAATTGAACTGTTATTTTATTTTCTATTCATCTGATGTAATGTGCACTGATGGGGTTTTACCGATATAAAATAGTTCCTCATAATTCAAAAAGACTTTAATACTTTTAACAATCATTCCCAACGCTGAATTAGAGGTCTTGATTTCTGATAACATTGAACACATTGCTTTTTCAAGAAAAAAACTAAACTCCTAAATTTGCCTACCTTGTCATAAGTCTTTTGAAAAATTATTTTATTTAAAATCTTTCTGATTGTATTCAAATGAATACTCCAAATCTGATTTTAAAACGATGCTTGAGTTTTTGAGTTGACAATGTCTATGTAGTTTTTTGAGATCAGGTCTTCCAACAATCAGTTTAAATCATGTTTCTACAAACTGCATCCTGTTATTTTACTGCAGAACTATTTTTTCATAGGTTTCATAGGTTTGTACAAGTAGCAAAATTCATTCTAAAAACCCTTTCATTGGAAAATCAAAGTCTCTCTTTATGTGGTCTTAAATTCAATATCTCTAGATGTATCCACGAAGTTTTATCAATCAACAATATTAATATATAAAAAATAAAAATATAAAGTTGCATCAATAAAAATGAAATCTGATTTGGATTTTCGTAAAAAATATTTTGGTATACAAAAAATTTATATAAACCATTTTTTTTTTAGAATAAAAAGCCATTGTCCACAAACATTTTGGACACCCTCGTATGTCACTTTGAACTCGAAAAAAAATTCTGCAGAGTCTCTGTCACATTTGTTTCATATTTTGGTATTTTACCAGAAATAAACGTTAATCAGAAAAATATCTCTGAATCCACAAAAGTATGTAAATTTATCCGCAATATTTCTTTAAAGTTAAATATTAAAATTAATCATGTTATAGGGGGAAAATAGTCAAATCTCCAATATTTTTGCAGAAAAAGCGAATTGGAATATCAGCAATGATTTTCTTATTGCAAATTGATCAAAAGATATATTTTAGGTTAAAAAGGATAAGTATCAAAGCATTCAGAAAAATTGTCTTTTTTTATACTGATGTGGTTTTTCCCGTCATTTATTCTATTATACATAGGGTAAAAAGCCTTTACAATCTTTTGCAAGACACCACAAACTAGTTCTTATTTCATATCATGCTAATAAGCATTGGTATCTATTCAAATAAAATATTAATTTTTGGAGTTATCCTTCCTGGCTGAGGCTGCGATAGATTAATAATCTAAAAGAGATTGTCATAGGTACTTTATCATAAATAGGATATTATAAAATGAAATTCTAAAGAGAAAAGGGAACCCCGGTAGGGGACTTGTATTGCTTATGCAATATATTCAGAATACTTGTGTTTGAAGAAATATACCATTATTACCTTCAAATTGAGTTTCGCAGCACAGTTAAGGTTAAAGTAAGGAAGCGGGGCCTAATTTGTAGGGGAAATGTTTACTATGACGTCACACATAATATAAGGTCTTCAAAGTACCATAAAAAGAAATTATTTGCTATTTCAAACAGCTGGATAGCTGTATACTACATTCAAACTTACTATTACATGTAGTTTGTCGTTTGTTAAATCCCACACAACAGTATATAAACGATGCATCGATCGCAATGCACTTGTCAATGTGACGTCATCTCGCAACAATGACCCAGTTTGTACACAGTGGGAGGCTGATGAAGTCACATTTTGTACAATGAAAAATGTCTTTTGTTCTTAAATAAAATATTATTTGCAATTAAATAAAAAAGGCCGTTAACTTGGATGCGATGTCTATTTTAGTATTTTATTTATAAATTGTCCATACATTCTCCAGACAAGTGATACTGTCGCGTGTTTGTATGCAGATACATTGAAAAAGTAATGGAAGGGCCCTAATATATCGATTTATTGCAAAGGCAAACCCTCAATGTATCTTGCCAAGTTTTTACACATTAACTCAAGAAGCATTAAGATATTTGAAAAGTGCTCCGAATCTCATGAAATTTTGCAAACAAATTAATTATAGCTATATTTAATGTAGCTGACCAGCAAACACTCAACCTGCTGCCCAACAAATTAAATTTTAGCATTTAAAAAAGGAAATCTATATAGGTTCGCAGGACTTTTCACAAACTATATATAGTGTTGAAAAAGATTATAAATTAAACAAAGATTTTTAAGTTGGTTATGCCCTTGCAATATTGGAATTTATAGATGACCTCTAAACTGCAAGTATAATTGCTAAAATCATGTGACGTCGACATCACGTGACAAGTTTAAATAAAAAATCTAAATGTCCCCAACATGTAGAGTAAAACCACATTACATTCTTTTGATATTAGTGAAGTCCTAAAAAGAATAGCCCATCCTAATAAAGCATTTATTTTTTATCTCAAGAAATCGCCGATATTCCCATTTGTAACCTTAACTTTGCTGGGTTATTTGTCTTAGTTGATTCGGTACGCAACAGAATGGCCAAAAAGTTCTTTTTCAATGTACTTTTGAGATTCATTACTGATTTCATTAAAGATCAAAATTGTTAAAACTATATCATGATTCAGAAGGGATTTTAAGAGAAAAAACTTATTAAGAAAATTGAGATAGCGTAAGGTAGCATTGCTGTATGATAAACTAGTTTATTCTTCAATTCTTTTGTTAGTGAAGGAAATAAAAACATGAATTCATCAACAAAATTTATAGGAGATGGGAGGATAAAAAAGATTATTATGATATTCTTTGATCAAATAAAACAATATTACACATTGCCTACTTCTTCAGTTAAGCAGGAATGATGGATGGATGCAAAACACATGCTTTCATATATTCTGGAAAAATACTATAAAATCACACATTTTCGAATTTTCTTAGTTTAAGGAAAAAATGTGAGTTTGTTGGAATTATATTTTGTGGATGAAGAATTTTTAGTTGTAATATCTGTGAAAATAACATTTCATTATGGACATAGATTCATGGATCTCTTCATACCTCGAAAACCTCGAAAATTAACTCCCCATGAAAATAAGTGATTTCACAGTACCTGTCTCGTAGTTTAGATTACTGTAGATGTTGATCCTGTCGGCACCACCACAACTTTGACTTTCGTTCCCACTACATTTTATATTACATTCTCTTTCAGGCTTTTTAATAAATGATGTAAAAAAATTTCCGCAAAAGCAGTCTCCACCAAACTGTAATTAAAAGAAATATCATAGTTCTGAGTGGGATTACGTATTTCTCCTCAGTGAAAAAAGTATTATTTCTCAATAAAAAAAAAGGAAGTTCAGAGAATTGCATTTCCCCGCTTTCGGTGTTTTATCGGATGGGATGTCATAATTTATGGTAAAATGAGTCAAACATGAATATCTTCTCAAATCTCAAAGCTAATCACCAAAGTTATTATTTTTTTTAAATTAGATCAAACACGAATGTAAAGTGGTAAAAAGTATAGCTTTAAAGTAATCTTAAAGCAATATGAGCTGCATTGATTGAGAAATTTATTTTGCTGGTTAATGCGTTATTATGATTAATTTGTACGTATTTTAAAGTTTTATGATCAATTACATCAAAATGAAATTTTTAATTGTTTCGGAAGGTATATTTCTCTACAATTGAAAATATAGCATTATATAAGAAGACAATATTGTACAGGACGACAATAATGTAATATTCCTTCAATTAAAGCTTATAAAAAGCCTTTCTATAGCAAATATGAACAACAAAAGTTTATAAATGTTCTATTATTTTGTCGTTGAAATAGTTGATTACAAATTTGAAACAAATTTTTCACATGACAAACTTGCAGCTCATATTGCTTTTAATTTTTACAACAGATAAAAGGTCAAGGGCACGAGGTCAAAACTCAGAGTATTTGGTAAAGTATGACTAAATATACTATGATGTTTGACCCCGTGACCTTATGTCACGTTTACGGGATCAAAAAATCATAGTATATTTTTTAAAGTGTTACTAAATACACAATATTTGACCCCGAGACCTTGACCTTGAATTTATTGTAAACAATAATGATACATTCAGGTAGAATTCTTCTCTGGTATCTGACTTGATGAAATATTCAAAGTATATTTGATTATATGCCTTATATATTTAGGTGAAGGAGATTCAAAAGACCATGTTTTTCTTTCCTAATAAGAATTATACAACTTAAACTAGAAATGGTAAACTGTGTTTGAAAACTACATGTACCATGGACTATATTTTTGGCGGAATGGAGGCGTATGCAAATATCCTCTTTTCTGTCTCTCTAAATTATTATAGAATAATGAATTTAATTATAGTTTTTAAACAATCAAAGACTTGAAGAAATTTACAGATGTAAGTTGAAATATTCATTTTAGGAACTTTTCAAAATATGTTAAATAAATATTGTTTTTCAAACAAACTAGGACTACGTTAGCTTTTAAAAGCTTCCAATCTTAATACAGATTTGAACCAAAAATCAGTAAAAAGTATTTTTTCTCTCTCAGTAAAAGGTCAAAACTCTTTTTGTTTTTGTACCATTTTGAACCTTTATTTGATAACTTTATTATATGTGAAAATAAAAAAAAATTAAATATAAGAATCATATAAAAATAAGTAACATATCTTAAAAAATTAAGAAAAGTAGAGGAAATTCGGATTATCAAATATTCATTTCAATTTAATTATTTATTTTAATCTGATATCATCTGATAGGCCCTATGTAGTAGAATCTTTGATGCAAAAAGAAAAAGTATGCAGTGTTTTGAAATGCCAGTAGGGGTTGTATGATTGGCTTAAGTATTTTTTTGATTCTTAATAACCAGGCGAAGATATAACCTTCACCTGACCTTGTGTCTAATATAAGACTGTCAAATTTAATCTTACTGATACTATCATTTAGTGATGTTGTCTTCTTGATTCTGTGAAAAATTTATTATGTTTTCATATACAAGAAATATGAGAAGAATCCTACTTTAATTTCAAGTGAAATAAGCATTCTGAGAGTATTGCATAAGCAATACATGTCCATTACCGGGTTCCCCTTTTTCTTCAGGATGTCATTGTATAATATGCAAAAGATATGACCAAGGTAAAACTGCTTGATTTTCAGGTTGTGAATGCCTTTAACCTAATAAAATAATCCACATTAAGACTTTATTTCAACTCATTTTTCAACATTTTTTCTCGCTTGGTATTTACCAAGTTGACCATAGGAATTTAGCGTAGCACGAACCCGATCTTAAACAATTATGAAAAAAAAAATGCCATAATTCTGTCAAAAATCAATGAAGCGAAACGAAACTCAAACTTGATCTGTAACTCACCAAGATATACTCACATACCAAAATTTAGCTCAATATCTGCAAGCGTTTATAAAAAATTGCGGAAAACCAAGTAGGACAGACTGACTGACAGACGGGGACAGACAGACGGACGGACGGACAGATGCAGAGGAAACCGATAGTCCCCTCCCGTTTCACCGGTAGTGGACTATAATATGAAAGTCATCTTTTTATTCAAAAGTTATGACCAAGGTTTACGTTTTTGTGAGAGACAGAAAGCCGGACAGACGGAATGACAGAGGAACGATATTAAACGTTCCTGTAAAACCCGTTGGCAAAAATGCGAACCTCAACTCCATAAAATTGGTAGTCTGTACAAAACTTCCTACAACTTCCTACAGTCAATGTAAAGTCTCCTCTACGGCTGATTCCAGATAAAGTTCGATTTTGCTGGTCTTGAAAACATCCTAGATACTCTATAAAAGAGAAGAAAGAAATCAATGGAAAGTTCATTTGGCTATTGCTATGCAATTCTTTAATTGCTCTCGAACAGAAAGACACTCCACATCAGTGAAAAGATTTTTGGACATAGTGAAAATTACATCGAAAAAAGGAGTAAACATTGAGTTTATCTCTTTGATTTTCAATGCATGGTACCTGGCATATACCCCAAGGAAAAAGTTAGAAAAACAACACTGTATCAATGAACAGAAATCACTGTTGTATACTTCCACTGAGAAAATACATGTAATTAACATGTTCATTTAATTAATTAAGGTCTTTTAAAATGTTAAGAATACTTAAATTCATTACAAATTGAGTTATATTTAGAAAATTTCTATGTATTGAAATTTAGACCAAAGGGCAGATCACTCTAACTGTAGAAAAATTTTATACAGGTATAGGTTTTAACGATTTTTATTGCCTTGAAAATCAGAATGCAATTTAAATCCATAATTTTTCTTTTAGAATTGCCGAATATTTGATCGGTATTGTGGAATAATTGTGCCATCCACATACTTTTTGTCAACATCGATTGCCACCATGGATCGTTGAGTGATATTTGTTTTACATTAGAAGTGAAGGCAAAATTGATTTTAGCGAAGCTGAGCTGTAAATATTATGTTGATTTCTATCCCAGTTAAATGGAAAACATGACAGATATATGCTAACATGTGTTTTTTATTTGACTACGAGGTATTGGTAACTCAATGCATTTCTGTAAACATTTCCCATAGAAGTCCCAGTGGTGCAAGTTTTCGGTTTCTTATGACCGAAATCCGTCATACCTATGTGAGAAATTGCTACGTTATGAAAGACTGGGAAATGGTGTGACTATTTTATAAGATTTCTTTATATTCAAGTACCTTACAAGCTAGTTTTGCTGGTGTTAATAGAGAGTGGTGTATGCCAAGGTATCTCTTATTTCAATCCTTTTTGCTCTGTTTTTATAAGATGTGTACGTGTACTTGGATGTTACCTTTATAGACACAGGCTCCAAAGTATGACTCGGAACAATTTGAAGAATATGAAAACTCCTGCACAGAACCGCCACAGCTTACTGCAAGACATGATCCCCCTCTTTTCACTTTTTCGGCTTCTATAAATTTTGAAAGAAATATTATTATTTACATTTATAAAATCCTTATTTGACACAGAACTTTTCTTAAGCATTTAAGCATGAGGCTCAAGTGAACTCTTCCGATCAAAGTGCGCCCGACGTTTGTCAGTTGTGTGTAAATTGTTCACATATTCAACTTCGCAGGAACAACTTGGCCAAATTCATTCAAACTTGCTCCAAAGCACCCTTGTCGGAAGGGAATTAATGTTCGTTCAAATGAAAATTCACATCTCCTTTTTAGGGTATATAATTAAGTATAGATAACTATTTATTATAGGGTGAGTTCACCATGCATCGGACACATACTTTGCTTCGGACAACTTTAGGCAATAAACTCTCTTTTGACTTAAGAGTTCCGTGTATTTATGTGTTTCTGTCTTAAAGATGAAGATTTAATTTTTCTTATGATACCGATTGTTATTATCATGTTGTGATAAAAATACCCCGATAATGGCCTTGAAGTCATGTCATAGTTTACATCATCAAAAGGGAATAACAAAAATTGATGATTTTGCAGTTTTTAGAGTTATCGTTCTTTAAATTCGATTTGAACGGAACGAGTCAGACTTTGGTGAATTTTGTCAAAGATTTGCAATTTTAAATGAATTTTAAAGAAATTTCTCTTCAATGTTTGTATAATTCTTTTTAGAGCTGGTTTTTTTCTAGTATGTTCATTTCTCCGTTCATCGGACACAAATTGACCATGCATCGGACACTTTCCGATGCAAAGGTAATCACTGCCATTTTTCATACAGAACCCTACTGACATCTGTTTCTGTCGGAAATAGAAAATAAAAAAAAAAACAAATTTTGGTCAAAATACAAGTTATCCCTATATGAGGTCTAGAATATGACTTAATTTATTTCTACAAACCAGAGTATGATAACCCATGAGAAAAAGGCGCGAATTACCGCATTACAAGCATTTTAATATCAATTCTCTGTAATTATCAAAATTGGTTAGCCACGCATAGAAAAACATTTTGATTTTTTTATAATAATTTTAAGCAGCTATGTCATTAACTGTAAAATCTAAAGTGGGTTTATGAAATAGACCCTTGGTTGCCATAGAAACGGGGTGCAAAATTCTCAATTTCGTTAATTTTGAAAAACGTGTACTTATCAAGAAAAACTGTGTCCAGAAATGAAAAGGGATAACTTAATATGTTTTCATTATTTGAATTTAATCCTACAGATTAAAGTAATTATATCTGTAGTTTTAATTTAATCTCTCAATAGTAAATGGACATTTTACATATCATAACATATCAGATATGTGATTGGTTTAGTGAAGTTTTTGGAGGCTTAAAACAAAAAAGGCACACTGATTACAAATTTAGTAATAATTAATTATGAAAGGCTGATATTTGATTATATCGAAATATGTAAAATATTGGTGGGAGACCCAAAGATGTAAAAGGAATTCAAAGGTAAAGATTACTTTTTTCTACATTTTGAAGCATTTTTTGCTTCCTAATTACTTCCCTTGAACTACTCTTTAACGTTTGGAGGTACAATGTGTATTTAGTAAACAGCAATGAACATTTTCTGGCGAAAGATCTCATCAAAGTTTTACAGTCTGGAAGAAGAAAAGAAGGCTAGACATCTTAAACAATGAAGACAGAAGGTAAATTTATGTATATACTGAGCATTACAAAAATATCAAGATTAACAAATGCATATTTTCTTAATCTTATTTACTTACAATACACAATTGTTTTACCGGTACTGGCGGTAGTGGTCAGTAGTCCTTATCAAATCAAGCGAACTATACCTTTTGACAGTTTGAATTAATTATTTTTATAAATAAAAATGAATTTGAAGCATACAAACATCACTTGCTGATACAGCTGACCCCCCCCCCCGAAATATAAATGTCTATATAGAGATTGTATAAAATCTGTGCCATTCAGTAGGTTTACTTTTTATGATGTGCTGAGAGAGACTTTTAAGTGAACATTATTTATCTTTATGATATAAATTTCCACTTCTGTCAGTTTTAACTCATTGTTTATCCTATTATTTCAATTCTTTATTGGCATTAGGCACATATTTTACAGAATTGTGTTGTTAAGATATTTAACTACAGCAAGTTTGTTTCTATAAAAAAACTGCATCAAACGTTTATAACGTGTGAGCACAAGCATAAAGTAGCTAAGTTTTTTAAATAGTATTCTATATATCAGCAAAATATGGTCATGGTTCATAAGCAGAAAATAGGAAAACAGCATGTTTGTTTTGATGTCATTGTTTTACTTAATAGCTTCTATCTTTTAAACTTTAAATTTATCATATATATCCGAAACTGTACTATATGTATTGACAAAATAGATCTAGGTTAAGAATGCACTGAAAATATTGAGTTATTTTTGTTTATATAGACTCTTTTGAACATTTGTCTGTGAAGTACCGGTACTGTATAATCTATAGTTCAATTTTGTGTGAATAATAATAATCTTTTCAAATAGCAAACAGTAAAAAATATATATGTACACTTGTACATATGTATTAGTGTTAAAACAAAATTTAACTATAGGTACTGTGAGCAATGAGCTCACTAAATGATACCCCCTGCCTCCCATATGGTTATAACTGATGACAAATCCATGTTTTACTGTGGCCGGGAAACCCAAAGTATGTGTCGAATCAAAAAGTAAAATAGGAGGTGCACAATGGCAATAAGTAATAAAGATTCTGTGAAAGGTTCATTAAATTTCACTCATTGCAGTGGTATAAGAGGAGTTGCGGATAATAAGAGATGGGTACCCTAAAACCTAACAGACAGACGGACGTACAGACAAATGGACGTACAGCTAGACGGACATACCGATTACAGTATACCCTACCACTTTTCAAGCAGAGGGTATAATAAAACTATATACATGTACATGTAGAATATTTACGTCTGATTTATAATGATATTTGTTTTATACACACTGACCATGTTTTATAATATTCTAAACAAATTATTTGATACTCAGGCAAATATTCACTACTGGTAAGATGATCACACACATGAACATGTCTGTGTATGAATGAAATGAATTTTCCTTTTGATCATGTTCCTAAGAAAATAATTATTTTCATCATTTTTTCATCAAAGGATTTACAATATAAGATGAATAAAGAAAAAGTAAGACCATTAAACCAAAACAGGACCAAATAGGCCATGACTGAAGTTCAAGTGCATTCTGCAAGACAGTGGACAGCCTAGATTTTGTTCTTTTCAAGGTAACCATTCTTAAAATATGAAATTAAATTAAGGACAGATGATACAAACAAAAAATGGATGCCTGGATTGGTATAAATTTTTTGGCATAATTTAATTGCAAATTAATGATGCTATTAATAAATTTCTAGAATATTAAGAAGTTGTAAACCTTCTGTGATGTTCAAAAGTCTGCCCTCTTGAAACTATCCTTATTAATCTATACAAATATTTTTCACTTCAAATTCCATTATTATGCAATTATGAATTAAAAATTAAAAAGTACTTGAAGAAAGTTATTAATTTTACTGATTTAAACATGACCCCAGTTGTTATTTTCAAATTCTTTGACAAAAGTTTGTTTGTATCATCTGTCCTTAAATTGTTAAAAAATATTTCAGTTTTATATCTAAATTTAAACCTTGCTTATTTCTTTTTTTTTTAAACAAAATTTAATACCTGTCCAGTAACAGAAGAGTTATTATACTAGAATGAAGAAAACAACTTTCTAAAGGATTACATACACATTTAATTTGCTTGAAATCAGTGTATATTGGAAAGTGCAGGAATTATTTACCATTGCAGGTTGAGAAGGGATGCCATATTTTAGGTTTGAAACCAGGCAAGTGAAAGCTGAATTCCAACCTACTTCAACATACTTGTACCCACTGTCTTCAAGATATCAGTGTTTGAGATGTCAAAGTTCAAATATAATAGGAACATGTTTATCATATTATGTGATGGCATCCTCAAATCTTATGCTGTATAACAATATGTTTTAGAACTTATCAAGCTTTATCCTGTACCTTGCCAAAAAAACTCAACTCAGCATAATTCTCATTAACTAATTATCAGTTTTATATGCATATGTCAGTGTAGGTCATTACTGGTACATGCCTGACCAACAAAAACTCTAAAATTGAAAAATCAGAGACATGATTTTCAGAGCATCAGAAACAATAGAATTTGTCACGTAAATCTAATGATATGTACCGTAGTTGAGAATGCATGTACTCTAAATGTTGCAAATATAAAAAATAAAAAAAGCGAAAGGTTCTCTTGTTTTCAGAATTTATATTTACATGTGAAAAAAAGAAAAGGAGATTGATATAGTTGGTGTGATGAGATGTTGGCAGGAACCTAGTAAAATGAAAGGAAGAACTTCCTTGAAATGATACTTGTGGGGGACAGTGTCTCATGGGGGAGGGGCATTCTTTCAACTGACTTTACAGAATACAAAAGATCCATTGCAAACCAAATTATTAATTATATGCCAAACACTATGTTTAAAGTTTTCCATTGTTGATATTTATGTTTAAATCCAAGATAACTTCCCCAAGAGTATGTGATTTTTTTAAACCAATGTAATTTTTCTCAAGTTTAAAGCCGTGTTTCATAAGTTTTAAAAGAAAAAATCAGAAGGGGGGGGTAAATTTTTGACTTCATTTAAAGTATCTGTGGTTTGCAGTTGCCCATGAATTTAATAAATAATTATACAAAGTAACAAGGTGAAATGAGTAAAAAATTATGAATGTCCTGTTTGTTTTAGTTTCATTTCAGAATTTTTCAAGTTTTACCAAATCTTGAAAAAGTAAAAGCCACAAGGTTTTGCAATTATTTGACATAGCATTACAAAATGCATTATATTTTTGCAACATCATAAAGATGCAAATTTAAGATGCCAAAAATTTTAGTTCACATTCACATTTAATTCATTACACAGGTTTTATAAAGAGTAAATAAGTGTAGTTTTGGGAATATTGTTACGTTAAACGCAGCCATTTTGGTTAAAAATCTGGTATTCCTGTCTCCATGGTAACAAATCTTGCATTCCTGTTTCCATAGTAATAGAGAATGGATAGGGAAAATTTTATTTCATATTAGTTTCAATCTAAGGGGATAGTTTCAGGAAACTTGAAACATGCCCTGGATAGTCTACATGTACTTCAAAATTGTCAATTTTACGGAAGGGGGGGGGGCATTTTGTGCAGGTGTTCACAGTTCTCCTATCTAAGAACATATTTACCTGTATTAATGCTCTTGTAAATGGGATGTGAATATTTTTACATGACACTTTTCCTAGAGATGGACTAATTTTACTGTAAATGACATCAAAACAGGTAGAAAGGAACATTTCTTTTCTATATGAACTTAATGAAATGTGCATATGTTCCTTGAAATACGGAAAATTTGCAGATTTTGGGTGATTTTTCATCAGTTTTTAAAAAAAAAATATTTAGGTGTCCCATAAATATTTTAATGTGTTTAAACTAACTTATGTACCATCTATACAATGCACTGTTTCCTGAATTTCAAATCAGTGTGCAAAGTATTAAAAATCGCTTTGAAAAAGGGTCTAAAATGGTAATTTTCTCAATTTGGCAAAATGCCCAAATCCCCAAAGGTAAGCGTTGTTAAGCCATTATGTAGAATTACAGTTTTTAAAAAATTATATTGTTATGTTAGAAAGGAATAATGGTAGTTTTGAAACAAAAGTAGATTTTCCCATTCTCTTGTTTCTTTTAAGTTCATTTTTATTCAGTAAAACCTACAAAATCACGTTTTTTGGTCAAATTTTAGGAAGAATTTACAGGGGAAACAATAGGTGCCGTTACCATGGCAACGAGACATTTTTTGAAATAAAAAAATATAAAACCATTAATGATGTGACAATGTGAGTACACACAAAAAGTTTCATAGAAATTGAAAATGTAGCGTGGCCAAGCATTATTGATATTGTTTGATAATTACAGAGAATTGATATTAAAGCATTTGTAAGGCAAAGTGAGGCATCTTGAATCGTTCTACATTTGTGCAACGATATCGTCAATTAAATTTCAGTTGAAGTTTATTTCTTAGATTAAAGGTAAAAGTATATCCATATCAAAGAATTTAAAGCACTCTAATAAAGGTATGATATTTTCCCAGTCCAAATACCGTCTGTCCGATGCATGGTAAACAATGTCCGATCCATGGTGAATTCTGAGTTATTTTTAAAAAACTCTATTTTTATATTTTTTCAATTAAAAAAAATATAATTGTGTCCAAAATTTATATTTTAATCATATACTAAATCTCAAACTCCATTTTGATAATTTTCCGTCAGTAGCGATATCACTAGAACTTGTTGAAGTATAAGGGTGTCTGATACATGGTGAATTCACCCTAACTCTTGAAAAATCTTCTCAATAACCACTGGGGAAGAGAAAAATGATTTTATTTAAGAACTTCTATGTATTTTGTAGAATAATTTTTCCAAAATGTTGGGCCCAAGGCCAGGTAGATGTCTCAACAGGAGGAACAGGGGAAAAAATCTTTAAAACTATCCTTCTAAAAAAAGCGAAATAATGATTTGTCGTATTTAAATAAAGCATCACCAGTTTTATATAAATTAGGGAATAACTATCTTCTAATTTGGTATTTGCGACCGTTAATGCTGATTTAACGGTCGCAAACTGAGTTTTACCGGCGACGCGTAAGCGTAAGTTATTCCCATTCTAATGCAATCCATACATTTTTTGCCGTTGTTTACAACTTATTCTGATGAATTTTGTTACATGAAATACGTCACAGAGCATTGTGTTTTTGCGTCGCTCTATTATGACGTCACAATGAAAAAGCTTTCACGCTCGTAAATGCTTGTTTTACTGCTTCAAACATCAGTGCATTAGCCAATGAAAAAGTGTTTTACAAAACAATTGCATTAGAATTTCAAATTTTTAAATCATGACTACTGAGGGAAGGACGGAAACCACAATGAACAATAAACGTTTTATACTGGAAAACATAGCATATTGTAAGAATCTTTAAAATATTTTTCCAAGAAAAAGCAAATTATTTTATCGTAGTTGTACTTTTATGGGAGAAACCAATGTAGTGTAGATTCAAGCTTTTTTTTCTCAAATCAATACCTCAAGGTAGATTGGAACACAATGGGAGATCAAAAGTGACATACAAATATAAAGGATTTTTTAAAATTTACTCATGAACAATTAAGTAATGTATAGTCATATTTTTATGGGAACACTCTCAATGTTACATGTATGTATTTGAAATATTTCAATTTATGAATGAAAGGGGCATGGTAGGGCCATAATATGTAATCAAAAATTTACATAGTAACATGAAGCGTAAAAAAATTGCAGAAAGAGAGCAGTAGGGCTATTGTAACTCATGTAGATCTGACCCATTAGATTCTTGTCTGTTTGTTTTGTTTGCTTCATGTCCCTTTCACGATTTTTATTCATACCGAGACGCAATCACTTGTCGCTGGCCCTGGATATCTGCAGATCTACTATTCTTGGAACTTTTAGCCTTTAAGCAATAACAATTTTTTTCTCTTGTTAGAACCTACTGTGACACAGGACCTCTAATTCTACGCTCTCATCTAAATAGCCGGTCTTCATATCGCGCAGTTGAATTCCAACCCGCAATATAAACCCAAATATTAACTTCCCCGCGAGCAAACGCTTTCAGCACGTGCACTGCCCTAAGCGGTTTTTTTCTGTAATCTCTTTACTATGATGCTAAACATATAAAAACCCAGAACTCTTCTTAACTGAGTCGAACGTAGTTGAGAAATGAAAATAATAACAGATATCTAACATGCTATATTGTTTCTATTCATTTTCAACCTTATGATTATTGCCAAGTAGAGTTACAGTGGTCATCGCAGGGGGAATAAGGAAGCATACAAAATATTCTCCCTTGACTAAATCAGTGCTACATTATGACGTCAAAGTAGACGAGATGACGTCAATTTTAGAACACAAGTTTTCGAAATATTGGTATACTTAGAGATGTAATTTAACTCTGTAAAATGAATAAAACGTGTAAACATTAACAAAATTAAAATTTTCTTATTTTGTAATGCTGTATCTGTCATTTTGATTAAAATCTACCACCGATGACGTCATATGTTATACATTAAGTAACTTGGGAATTGATCATGTCGTGTAAAGACAATTTGGTTTGGACGGCATGTACAAAGATACATAAAATGGAATTTAAATGCAAATATCGTGAATATTTTTATATGGAGTTCTTTTAATAGAACAGGTATGCTAATTTATTTTCATTGATTATATTCTCTTTAAAAGACTGTCAGCTATATACGTATCCCGGTCGGCCTCTCCTCTGTCATTTGTGACAAAAATAATGCAACAGAACAACAGTTACCTGTATATTTCAAAACATAAGATTTGTACAGCTGGAAAGTTTGCCTCCTAAAATACTTGGAAAGTGCTGCTAGAATCCCGAGTTTAGCATGGTTTTACGAAAAATCTCGGCTCATATGTAAAAAAAAACTCAAAACAATGGGTAAGGTTTTGTGCGAATGTGTTGAATAATTATTTTACTGATCGGACAGTGGGATTTTAGCAACACTTTTTAGGCAAAATAGATTTTTTTCAACTACATTATTTACTCAAAGAAATAATTAAACTCCGGGGTATTGTTGCTCTGTCAGCTATTTTATTAAGAACAATTTCGCTATTACTAGAAGTCACGTGATGTAGTGGTGGTGGTGGACGTCGTTGCGTTAGATACTCTTTTATCTGAATGCAATGGATAATAATAGTTTACGTTTATCGGCGGTTTGGGTAGATTATCAAACTTAATTTTCTTCAATAAGTCTAAATTTCCCAAAAAAAATGACATATATGCTTCTCGACGTACCCGCGATAGAACAAACTTTACATTTTTTATTAATGTTCTTAATATTAACCTAAAAAGGCGGTTTTGCATTTATGAAAATGTTTCAACAATTAAAAGTGGACCATAATATCTTTCAATAAAATTGTAAAAGATGATGGATATCAGAAAACTTTCATAAATTGAATAAAAAAGAATTATACATTGTAAATATTCTTAGATTGCTGAATTGAAATGCTAGAAGTGAATTTGAAATACCTAAAGTATATAAAGTATATGCATTTGGCCCTCCACATTCTAAAAATTTAATGGCTCCTTCATCTCCGACATCATAACATGATCTGTTGCACTGATCTGATGAGATGGTCTCTGCAAAAACGGGGTCTTCAAAGCAGACACATTCTCCTGACTAAATCATTTTGGAAAACAAAGAGTTCATTGAAGTAAGGAAATGTTACTTCTTCTTATATGTAAATTTAAAACTATTTTAGAAATATTAAGTTACATGTGTGTTGCAAAAAGGGATGTTCGCACTATATATTTCCGAAAACTTAACTATTTCAGGTGTAACGTAGAAGATTGACCCAGGTTGAAAACTGAGTCTGGTTGCATTTTTCATTTGCAAATATTTAAGACCAAAAGTTGTGAAAATTTTACATGAGGTCATTTTTCAACAGCTTGGTGATTATGATTTTTAACTGTTTTTGAAAGGGAAGCTGTTTTACATGATTTATCTGTATCCACTTATGCGTTTAAATTTCAAAGTTTTTTTTACCAGAATCAAATAAAAAATATATATGACTGACATCATTTTGAATTAACATGTGTGTGAACGTTATTGATCGGTATGCAATTTGACTATTCTTTTGTTTTATGCCGCATCACTTTCTTAATTTCACAGCATTTTTAAGCAACTCTTATATTAGATTTAGTGCTTTACAAATATTTGTATAAAAACAATACATATCAAAGTTCAAGTAAAAGAATGGTGATTTAAAGGACCCCTTTATACTTCTTCTTACATTTGTACGTCTATTGTGATTTATAGCTTTCGTGATGTAAAACTAGGACAGTTCTGTATTGATTGATTTTGCCCAATTGCAAAATTCACGGCTGCATATTATTGGAGTCCTTTTTAAAAGTGGTTCATGCTTTTTACAGACTGTTAATTCGAAATTGAAGATAATAACCGGTTAATCTAAAGACTGATATTGAAATAAATATAAATGTTTAGTGTAAATTTAATAAATCATAGTTGTGAATATAAACTCATTACTATGTGTTGCTGAATTTAGAACGGGTTTTATGATCAAATTTCCAAGACGCTGCCCTGTTTATAAAAGATCAGGGTCTAAATTTAACGCCTTTGGTCTCCATGTTCAAAACTGAAAAATGACATCCTCTGGTCATTTTTTTTAACCCGGACAAAAAAATCTACCTTACAAAGGGACACAGGTAGTTTGATTGAACATCTTGACTGTGTCCATGATATAACATATGTAAAAGATACCTGAATTCCAAAATTAGTTGAATGTACAGATGCACATATCTCTTGACAAAAACCTGCCGATGTAACGTTGAAATAAAAGTTTTACTTCTTATGTTCATTGACGACGTTAGAATCATAACACCCTAAACAAGGAAAACGACATCATTGTAATGACAGTGGCATGTGTCACTCTGCATGTTTTTTTTTTTTGTAGGAAAAAAGTATTATTAAAAAAGATTGAGCTTCAAAGGTAACAAAAATAGTACCTAAAAGTTTTATCCATTGCGAATATCGCCTGTAAACACCTGTCCAGTGCTGGACAGAGTTCAGAATTGCACCACCAGTTTTCAGGGTATCATTAGAATTGATGCAATGTTGTTGAGCTTCAAACCAGTTCCATGAGTTTTGTATGCAGTTGGTAATATTAACTAGATAATAAAAAAGAAGAAGGTATGGTTTTAGCTTTGATGCGCCCTAAAAATGTAATAACATCAAAAAGTTTTGAAACTGGCTTAAATATTAGTTAAATAAATGACTCTGATAAATCAGGAAAGAATATGGCATAAAGGTTTACCATTCTGCAAATTTGACATCATTAATGTAAAGCATTTCTCTATTCAAACAGAAAAAGCCTCAAAATGGCACATATGAAGGGTGATTTTCCTTTAGAAAAAAGTGTCCACAGCCGTCGCCCACGTTATTTTTTTGATATTTTGTGCAAAATTTAACAACAAATCACATATCTCAAGATCTTTGTGGGCGATGCCTGTGGACAATGTTATCTGAAAGAAAATTCCATTGAAAATTGGTGTCTTCTGCAACTTTTTAAGAAAATACGGGAAAATGCATATGTTTATGACGTCATAATAAGCATTTAAAAACACATGTGAGAAAAATGACTTGTATGATTTTTCTGCATTGAATTTCAATTATTTAAAAAGCATGAGTTTTCAACTTTTACACAAGTTTCATGTTTTAGGAAATCACAGGGCAAAATTTGTATGGAAACCATACCTTCTTCTTTATGATGTAAAATAAATTGATATATACTTTTTTTCTAGAAATTAAATCAAGTATTGAAAAAAAATTATATTCGTTCCTTTTCCTTAATAAAGTGAAGAAATTTGTCATTTAAAAGAAAAATATCAGATTTCACGACTGCAATAAAACCTCTTCAGAAAAAATTTCTTGGGTGATAATAATTAAATGTAGCTAAATGAAGCTTATGAGACTTAAGCGCAAAACAAAGTAATCGTCACTTCGTTTGTGTCTTAATCAGTCCACAATTGGAGGCCAATGAAGAGGACCTTAACTATCATTTTCTGATTGTAATACTATGTATTACATTGAAAAAAGAAAAGGAGAAATATACATTTATATTACCACTTATACGAGCCTGGTCTCGGATAAATGAGTTTATTTCAGTAACCCTATGTCCTTCCATTCCGGATATCTTAAGTCCTTTCAGATAGATAATTATATTAACCCTTAGTCCCAACCTATCAATCCGGATAATCTAGGTCAATTTATATATACTAGTATAATATTTAGTTGTTTCCTTCCCTTCCTTTCTCGAAAAATCGATAAAACGGTAAGGTCATGGAAAATTTTGTGAAGTTGAATTGTTGCAATGTTTTAATTTTTGAAATAAAATAAGTTTGATTTCATGGGTAACTATCAAGGTTTGTAATTTCAAGCCAAATTAGACCTGCCGATGGTGTAATTTTACTTTGGATTTGGCCAGAGATTTTGTGTTAAGATCAAACGTCGACTAATTGGTCGAATTTACACAATATGGTATAATTTGAATTATAGATAACAGAAATAATAAATATATGGGGGTCAAGGGATGGTTTAACTTAAGTAACTATTTTAAGGAGTAAAACGTATACAATCCCCGATTCGCTTTAAGTTGGGGGGGGGGGGGGTTCAAGTGCAGAAATATTAAGTCAGGCATACTAATCCGTTTTAAGTTTTGTTTTCCAATGTTATGAAGCCTGAAGAAGGTACTTAACATATTTTGCCAAAATTTAATAGTCTTTAAATGGCATTGACTATTGAACATTCATAAGAATGATTTACGCCGTCGTCATTACTCGCCAGGCGGCGCGCGAGTTCTAAGGGGTATAGAAAAACTAACATGGCGGATAAATACAAACAGTGGACGGTGCCGCGTATAAAATGCGAACTTTCACAAAGAGGTGCTGTGACTACTGGGAGAAAGATTGATTTAATCGAAAAGTAAAAACATTTTTTTTGTAATTTGACGTACTTATAACTCACAAACAATATTACAGGTCGAAATAAACCTTCTCCTTATGTAAACAATGTCGTCGCATGCCAGTTAGTCGACATGTGCAAATATTGCACGTGCGCAAAATCATAGACATTTTACCCTGTTTTTGTTTTCTTAGTAATAATGAAGATGATTTAGTTGAGCTTACACTCTTTTAAATGATATTTTCTGACTCAATTATGCAGGCTTGAAGCATACGACCGCAACAAGAATTTTAGGCAAGACCCTATAGTAATACCCGAACCAGTAGATGTGTTTTGGCCAACATGCGGCTTCCAGCAGTTAAGACAAGAACAAGACAATTGCTACCCAAGTTATCAACTACCCAGATCAAGTTTATTTTTTGTACAGAATGGCAGGTCAGTGGAAAATTTAATAACATTATTGTAGGTGAAACAAAGTTAAGGTTATTTTATTACCAGTGTTAAAAAAACGTATATGATCTTTTTTACTCGATCATTAGAAGATAAACAAATGACATCCGATATCAAGGTCCTGGCCAGGAGAAAGGAAAAAATCTTCTGAAGGGTAACAGAATTTTAGCCTGCAGTGTGTGTGTTTTCGGTGATGTGTACCTGTCTGGGATAGTTGGTGCAGCTATGAAACAACAGGTTTTTATTTTTTCATTAATTGGCTACCTCAAATATGATCAGTATTAAATTTGTATTACAATGATTTATTCACTTTCTCAGTATAGAAAGAGTGAAAATAGTTTTAACAATTCATACTTAGTTATGCTAATGTAAACCTCATAAATAATATACAATTTAAGTTTTATACATGCAATAACATTTTTAAAAAATCTCTGAATGTTACCTATACCTATAGTCTTAAAATAGTGTTTTATTTTTAATTTTTTTCAACACTTCTATTTTGTCTTCCAGGTTTCATATAATTTTAAAATAAGGCTTGGAAGAACCCATGGGGAACCCTTAAATTCACACTGCGAGTGCCCAGCTGGGAAAGGTCCACATGGGACATGCAAGCATATTGGAGCAGTTTTGTTGATGGTGGCAACATTCATCGAAAAGGGGGAGATTTCTGTGATGAACGGCTGCACAGAAAATTTACAGAATTTCCATGTGCCGAAAAAAATGTATGAAGGTTTGTATAATACTGAAAACATTCTATCAAAACAAAAGACGAAAGAGATAACTGAGCATTTATTTTTTAAAATGTATTTCTGTTTATAGATTTCAGGGTTAAAAATTTCAGAATTTCCAAAAGACTCTCACATTTTTAATTTATTTAGAACTATTAAATTATTTTTTTTTACATTCAGGTAAGCCTCTTATTGCATACAAAATCCCTTGCCTATATTAGGAATTATCATAAATAAATAATTATTTATTTCAGGTTGCAAGTAGACTTCCGTCAACTCCCCTTCACAGAATATATTGTAGACAGAGCACTGTGAGTAAGCATTTTTTTAATTGATGACCTTTATTTCAATATTGCTTATTGATCTTGAATAAAATTAATGTTTACATATCTTTTAAGGTAACTCGAGAAAAAGCAGAGACTATAGAGAAAACTACAAGGCTACAAGCTAAAAGTAAACAATGGTTTGATGAGAGAAAGTGGAGGATAACAGCATCCATGTTCGGAGACATTGCAAAAATGACTTGCGGTAGAGACACACGGAAACTTTGTTCGAGTTTATATCAAAGAAATTTAATTTCTACTTCACCTATCATGCATGGTAGACAATATGAAAACAAAGCTATATGTAGATTTGAGGAAATTTCTGTTCTCAAAGTTAAAAGATGTGGACTATTTGTATCTATGGATTTTCCATTTCTTGGTGCAACACCAGATGGGTTAATAGACAATGATGCCATTATTGAAGTAAAATGTCCTCATACTGGTAGAAATGAGGAAATCAAACCTGGGAAGAAATTCCCATTCCTTGTTGAGTTATCTGATGGCACTGTTACACTTAAAAACTCTCATAAATACTATGATCAAGTGCAAGGCCAGCTTTTTCTTTCCAAAAGAAAAATGTGTCATTTTGTTGTGTTTACTTTCTGTGATATATTGATTTTGAAAATTCAGTATGATGATGATTACTTCAGGTTCAGTTTGCTGCCAAAGTTAGAAATGTTTTACAAGAAACACTTTAGACCTTATGTTGCTTCTTGTTTGTAATTTCACTAAATAAGATGTTGACATCAGAATAAAATGTACATGTTTCAAGAGATGGCAAAATGTAGAAAATGCTAGCTCCCACTTTCAAATGATTCTTGAAAAGGAAAATTTACATAAAACTTTTTGTATGTCAAGGCTAGCAGTAAAAAATTTGTTTGATGTATTTCAACCAACCCTTCACAATCACCCTTACCCAATCTTTCTTTTTTTACCAGCACTTTGATTTTTTATTCAGTCTCTGTAGTAAAATTTCTTTAGGATGATTTATGATTGTAATTTTCATAGCAATAAATAATAACAAGAGGCCCACGGGCCTTATAGGTCACCTTTCAAACTTTCAATTAAATTTGGTTCGTGCTTTAAACCATAGGCCATGAAATTCACACTTTATTCGCAATTTTGAAAGAGGCAGCATTGCTTATCATAATTATTAACTTAGCATGTTTACTCTAATTACTTAATACCCAGAAGTAGATCAGAGTAACAAAGAGCAAATGCACTTCCACTTTATACCCATTTGTGCACCTCACCCCAAAGGAACCACTTTTGCAAATTTTATCATAAAATGGTTAATTAATACCAAAGAGCAGATTTCAAAGCATTAATTTATTTTCAGACTGTGTTAACCCCCCCCCCCCCACCCAGGGGGAATAAAAAAAACACTTTGTTAGGTGCACTTTCTGCATCATAAATATATATACTTGGATCATTGGCATAAAACTCAGAAGCAAAGGAAAATATTTTCAAAGAATTAATGTATTTATACTATAATCAATAGAGGCCCCGCCCTAACACCAGAACCCCTGACCCTGGGGCCATAAAATTCACAATTTTAGAAGAGGCACTCTTGCTCATCAAAACGATGTGCTTAGTTAGTTCACTTAATACCCAGAAGCAGAGAAGAAGATTTTCAATGAATTAATGCATTTCCACTATGTAATCAATAGACCCCCGCCCTAACACCAGAACCCCTGACCCTGGGGCCATAAAATTCACAATTTTACAAGAGGCACTCTTGCTCATCAAAACGATGTGCTTAGTTAGTTTACTTAATACTCAGAAGCAGAGATTTTCAAAGAATTAATGCATTTTCATTATATGATAATAGAGCCCTGCCAAAACACCAGAACCCCTGACCCTGGGGTCATAAAATTCATAATTTTGGAGGAGGCACTCTTGCTCATCATAACTATGTACTTAGTTAGTTTATTTAATACCCAGAAGTAGAGAAGAAGATTTATAAAGAAATAATGTATTTTCACTATATAATCTATATAGCCCCGCCCTAGCACTAGAACCCCTGACTCTGGGGCCATGAACTTCACAATTTTGGTAGAAGACTCAATGCTCATTACATTCATGCCAACAGTTTGCCTGCTTGATGTCCAGCAGTAAAGGAGAAGATTTTTAAAGATTGCATTAATTTTAGAGGTTTTGGCCCCACCTTTCAGGCCCCAGGGGGGCGGGGACCATGAAATTCACAATTTTTGTTCCCCTTCACCCATAGATGCTGTATACCAAATTTGGTTGAAATTGGTTTAGTAGTTTCAGAGAAGAAGCTGAAAATGTTCAAATGTTAACACACGACACACGACGGACGACGGACGTAAACGGATAGCAAAAGGTCACCTGAGTGACTCAGGTGACCTAAAAATGTATAGCCATCCATTATCTAATAAAAACATCAATATATATCAGAGTCTGTGATTTTTATGACAGTTATCATTTGTCCAATACTGTAGAGAAAAAAAACCCAAACAAAACCTTACTATCTACCCACCTTTAAAATGTGGGTTGGAGTACATCAAACACAAAAAATTTTAATGATGTCCCAAGGTTGTAAATTTTGCAATTTTTACTCTACAGAAAACTTTTTGATTTGTACCAGGAAACTTACCATTATTACAATAATAAATTATGGAAAAATTCTTTTCAATTTACTAGTATTTAATCAATCAGGCATACCCATCCACAATTGTTTTCCTAAAATTTGACAGAGAAAAGCAAACAAACACTATTCTTGATGATAGAAAACACATTTGCTAGATGGAAGTGGAGAACTTAGAATTTTGTATCTTTTACTAAGGCCAATGACCCTCTCTAAGTGTATTTGTTTGGATGCAATTCTCCTGTCCTTTAGAACATCTTTTGGTTCAAGATGAGATTTTCACTCAACAAAGCATTGTAGGAGTATTAACAAACACATTCATCGGTGCAAACAAATCTTGCACCATAATGCCTCTGTCTGCCATTATACTATATTTTGGTAAAAACCTTTGATTCTGGCTTTGTTATATCAGAACACTCAATGATTTGTCTGTCGGAAGCAGAACCCCCAAAAGAATCACTAATAAAGGAAACTGCACCTCGTGGTGTACAACCAATCATTGTTTTTAAAGTATTGCGATGCTTGTATCCAGACCATGTCACTGACTGGGCAATGAAATCTGACAGCTTTTGAATTGGTATTTCGGTTGCATCAAGAATCACTCTGGTAGAGGGAGGAAACTTCTTCGAGAAATCCTCTGGCATATGTTTATCAATGATATCTCGAGATGGCCATATATCAAGTTCTTTCAGCTGAAAGTACATGAAGTTTATTCACATTATAACTATCTTTTGATAAAGTTTTTTCACTAATTTCGAACATAAGACTTAATTCAAAACCCTTCCTAGCGTGGCGAAGTTTGATCAAAGTTAAGAAAAGCTGATCAATGGGTGAAATTATAGTTTGTTGATTTTTAAGATCTGAAGCTGCTGGGCCAAGACAATGAAAAAAAAAAATTCAAAATGCTCAAATCTGTAAATCACGTGTAAAAGTTAATTGCCTTAGAGTTTGTCCTAAACTTTTCAATTGAATAGCAACCATGTGGAAGACTGCATTATATACTCTCGACATTTCTCAACACGGGCTGAATTCATTTCTACTCGATTTTCACTTTCCTCACTACTAATGGGAGACTCAATTGTGACCTCCTGCTGAACACCATGACAGTGCTCAGTAAGTGTAGTCATAGTGGACACACTTGCTTTATTTTTTGAGACTGAGGTTCCACGTCGTCGCTCTTTAGATGAAGACCTAAATTTGAAAGCTGATGGAACAGCATTCTCCTTAAGGTG